AAACCATCATAGTCCAAATACATTTAAAATTTTATATTTTTTAAATAATACATATACAAAAATATTGAGTGGAAAAAATTCAAAGCTGGCAAAGTATTGAATTTTAAAACGTAATTTTCCCCAACTAGGTGGCTACGAAAAACTAAATAAAATAACGAAAGTCTAAGAGTATCTCCAAAAAAGACAGTAAATTTTGTGATTTTTTTATAATACAGATTTTCGGATTTTTTGAATACATTGATCAGATAATATGATTTGTACAGTTCTATAGATACCTTATTACCTTCCTATTATTCTTATAAATGACAAAAGACGAGTTATTGATGTAGTTTTTTATTTAACATTTACTGTAATTTTTTTAACATCGCATGAACAAATTGGCTGTTTAGGCCTTATTGTTCTAACATGTGGGTTATATTTTAATAAAATATTTATGCATATAAATCTGACATTTACTCGTTTTACCGTAAGACAGTCTTACTTTTTATGTGATATTTAAAAAAATTATACATGCACTCTAGAAATAAAACTATGTCTTAGAACTAACAGAATACAATAGAAACTTGAAATGTTGTAAAGAGCTGAGCTATATAGCTGATAAAAATTTGAAAGGGATATAATTATACTATAAAAATACTTAAATTTTTTAAACTAAAATTTCTTTAATATTCAACCTGTTATTTGATTGTTTATAAAATCACATACTCTTTATTTCTTATAAGAGGAATGCAAAATAATAATGTAGAAATAAATCTTAATATTTTTATGTGTTGTGCACATAAAAAATATAAATAGTCATCTATGAAAGAATAAAATTAAAAGTGAAATTTCAATACGTACTATAATTTATATATTTTTTAATTAGAAGTCCTAGTTTTAGGAAAAAAACTAATTTAATTTGTACTTCATTGATCTTTCGAATATGTAATCAACAATAATGAAAATAAAAATCATTAAGCTTAATATTATTAAACTCCATTAAATAAAAATAAATGTTGGCAGCGCTATTTAAAAATGTCTTTATTTTTCACGCAGGTATAAAGTTGAGTGATATTTTTATTCGAATCTTTAAACGGTAGATAGATAATCATAAATTTTGAGTTTTGCATTGATCTTGGAAAAAAAATATGTCGTAAAATAAGTTACTAATCAGTAATTTACCATGAGTACTAGCAATTATATCTTGTATGTATCTTTTATGATTTTTTAAAAATTTAGAAACCTTCAAATGCAGATTCAAAAATCTTGTAATTATGGTAGGTAAGGGAGGAATATGGAATAAAATCATACAAACAATCAGTTTGGTAAAAAAATGATTTTTTTATTTGCTGAAGAAAATGTATGAACGGTGCGGGTTAGACTAGATGAAATGACGAAGTGTGGGTCTTAAGCTACGGGCAAGTGGGCGCCCTGGGGCTGGAAGCCATTTTCGTCGGCAATGTAGGAAACGGTGTACGTGTTGCCGTCAGTGCCAACGTAGCTGAAAGATCCGCGGACACGGAGGATGGCATCCTCGGGTTTTGGGCCACGCAATTCAACCTGAGCCGATTCTTCCCTCTTTTGTCCGTCGGACTGTTCGAAGCCGAAAGTGTATCCATCAGTTCCGATGTTGTTCGAGGGGGTTTCCTTGACGAGGGTCACCACATGTGGATCATCCTGGTGTTGGAAGTGGTACTGGGGAGCGGCGAGGGCTACGGCCAGGACGGCGGCGAAAACTGCGATCTGAAATTATTTTTAACAATAATTTAATTAAACATGTTTTTTTTTTTTTTTTTTTTTCTACGGTTGGCTCGTTCGTACTTTCTAACGTTTCGACTCGGATAAATAGCAAATCGATGTTTTTACTTTCTAAATTACATTGCTAATTTTGAAATCGAAAGTGCCAATTTAAATATCATAGTCACTGATGAGTCGTCAAATCGAATAAAAACATTGTTTACGTGAAAAGAAGGTTGATACCATCGTAAAATCTTAACACAATTTCGCCATAGAAATCAAAGAATCAGAGGTCAGAATAATAAAGGTGTTTATCCAATATAACTTAACAACTTAAGAAAAGTTATTATTTAAATTTTCATCTGATAAACATGTGCTTTAAAAATTTTCTTTTGTTCATTACTAAGTAATATAAGCTTGGATATTTTTAAAAGATCCTTGCGTTATTTTTTTTTCAAAAAATATAATATATTTGTTGCCTTTAAAAAAAATGTTTTTATTTAAACTTCGAAAAAATTATAAGAAAAACATGTGAAAGTATTTGAATAATGTGTTTAAACTCTGCTTAATTACTTTATGATAAGCTACATGATTTAAAATTATTTACACCCCTCTATTTCTTGTTGAAACCTTTTTTTTGTAATTTTATGGTAAAATGTTATTTTTAAAAATATCCAAAAAAAACAGTATCAAAAAAAAGTTTTCAATCTTTTAGAGTAACGTTATAGCATGTCTGAGTCACACGAATCGCGTACTCGGAATACATAAACGTTATGCAACAACTCGTACATGGAAGCTTAATTGTGCACCCATTGGATGATCGACGGCTACGAACCCGATTCGAAAAAAAATGTAACACCTCGCGAAAATAAAGAGTATAGTACGTGAGAGGAGAAAATCACGTGAGCAAAAGTACACATTACCATCTTCATGTTTACGGGGATGAGTCGGAGGAGACAACGAGAGATGAGCTTAGTTAAGGACAAAGAGTCAACAAGGACTGAATGTCGAACAGGTGGAAGCGGGCTCTTTTTATACCAAAAAATTTCTTCTGTTGCTTTATCAAAATACCCCACTCATTGGCCCGATCATCGAAGGACCGGTATTTTTTTTTTTCGTTTTCGGGTTTTTTTTTTTTTTTTTTTTTTCCTTTTTTATGCCCAGTTCCATCCACGCTTCGAAGAGACAAAGATTACGAGCTTACAGACTTACGGATTCAACTATCATTTTCATGAGTTTCGATACAGCTTTCATTTCTATCGTTGAGAAGAAAAACACATCATTTGATGAAATAATTTTTTTTCTATTTATTAAAAAAAAAAAATCTATGAAAATTGATAGTCATACGTATGCACGTAAAATAACAATAGTTTTAATATCATAATTTTCTTAATGGAGGACTCGTTATACCAGAGGAGTTTCGTTAACACCTCTATTTTTTTTAATCGATTAAAAATTTTTTGTTGATTGCAGTTTGCACTTTGATGTACATTCATATACTCAATACATTAACATCTCACTATAAGATTTAAAGCATGAATATTAAAAGAGGAGTTGGCAGTCCCACGAGTGTAATATGATAATACATCGTCGCGTTTAAACTAGTTTTGCATTTGAAATTAATTGCTCGTTACGTCACGTTTAACATAAATTAAAATTCAACGAGTTTAGTGCCTCTCTACTTGTTTTAATTTCACATCTGTATAAAGTAAGAGGCTCGAAAAGACTCGCATAACTTATTTTTCACTTATACGGTAATTTTATTAAAGGGAAATAAACATAATAAATAAATGTATATTGTGTCCAAATTGTTAGATTGTATGTATATTAAAAAAAAAAAAAAAAAAACCTTGTACGGCCAGCTTATATGTTATAACTAGTGATTAAATTAACCGTACTTATATATTTTGTGACCCTTGCTATAAATCTGTACTTCTGTGATCATTATACTATGTATTTATTTTTTTGCTGGAGGGCCATACACATCGCACATCCACAAGGCCTCAATAAAGTTAAATCTAATCTCATCTAATCTTATTTATTGTCACTTTACATTGAGGGGTATCCTCGAAAACCCCCTCAGGAATCAAAATTGCGTAACTTTTTCGGAAAAAAAATCAAATTTTTATCCACCTATCGTTCCTTCCACTCCAACCACTTCAAACTCGTTTTCATTTCGCGTTTGGCATTTTAACGCGTGTACGAAAGAAGAAAAAAAGTAACGTCCATCACTCGGCGAACCCCGAGACTACATTCGCGAAACGAGTGTAATCAAAGGGGCTCCCCTTAATCCACACGCGTCTAACACGCGTTACTGGCCAATCCATCAGACCAAATGCAAATTATCGCGGTGCTTTCGTAATTGCAAATTTTGCAACGACAACCCGCGCGCGCATCTCTCTCTCTCTCTCTCTCTGACCTCTCGAGCGCGTCTTCGAAGAGCAACTTGGTTTTAATAAATTCGCCAACGCAACAATCTCTGCACGCGCGCGCTTAATTTGATCGTCCCGCATATATATGTACACGTGCACACGTTGGCCAGTGACAGCTGAAGAAATTTTATTAATGAAAAAGCCCCACGGCTATTGTATATATAAGCACCAGAAGCACACGTTATTGGGTGGACTGAACATTTTTCATCCACGCCAATCCGAGGTTTGACCCTTTTTTTATCATTGGATACAAATGTCAATTTAACACTCATTGTATTTATCTTTTGGATGATTGAAAACAAAAAAAAACAAAAAAATTTAATCCTACAATAAATAAACAATCGGATTACCTCTTCATTAACATCCCAACAGCCCCCCTCCTTCCGATCAACCGACAATGTCATCTGTTTTGGTAATTACCAACACACGCTTATATGGTCTGGATAACTGATGTCTAAACAATTAATTGTATAGGGGTGTAGAGTTGCGTTTAATTGAGTCAAAATCCTATATCTACTATTACTTCCTATACAATACTGTATATCGATGTATCGCAGTTGTTTCAACATTTCACGCGTATAATACAATATATATAGTCATCCGGACAACACTTTTAACGCCCTCGTGTGTGTATACATAAACGTATACTCATGACAACGAGATAAGTGGTACCCATTATTCAACGGTTACGTGGTACAAGAAGCTCTATTGATATTAAGTCACGCAATTTCACACGCGATTTTTGACCCTTTGTAATTATAATAGTAATATCTTTATAATATACTTCTTAATTGGCACACATTGAGCTCACTATTGTATGCCAAGTGCATTGAGATTCTGCGATTTGTTCAGTTATCACACATGGAAATCGAACGAACGAAAAGGACGAATGTTCATTTTTTTATGGTATATATAAGAATATTAGAAATTAATCCAATACTTTATCGATGGGTAAGTAAAAATGCGAGTAATTGTATTTATCGACATTTCCCATCCATTACGAGATTGCCAATTTTTTTTTGTTTTTTAATACAACTAGAAGCTTCAAAAATACCATTGTCATAGAATAGAGCTTTCGTATAACATCTTTACCGTAAAACCAACACCACACGGAAGATGATCTAACCGGCGCGTCCCGAGCGTTGTTACTATAATGTATTCGTTCGTTGTAATTTATTTCGTTATCCTGTAAAAACAATACCCGCTCCAGTGCGGATGGAAGCGCGTATTATGATAATGAGGGGCTTTGGTTCCCAAAGGAGAGGAAAAAGGACCTTGAGGACTCTCTCGTAAATAAAACCGATCGAGTTTAAAATAGATGATGCTGTGGCCTTTGCGGGGATTCGGGAAACAAGAAAAAAAAAAAAAAAAAAAAAAAACCTGTACAACACAGGACCGGGATCTTCTTTCGAAATTTCAAGGCTGCAAACCTGATGTTGAGGAAAAAAAGAAAGGTATTTCACTCGAAATCGTGGATTTGATTTCTCGACTGCCCGCGTCTTCCAAAGTTTTCTTCGTTTGTGCTTTAATAGTTTCCTACGTATAGGTGCTTATCACGAGAGGATAATTTTAAAGTCAAATTTTGGTGGCTTTGTAGGAAAGGAAGAAAAAAGAAACTAATTATGTATGAATGAATATATTTATTGTTTGCAAGATAAAAAAGCTACGAATTTTTTACTAGTTTTTACAATTTTGCGGTATGAAATGAAAAATTGGTTCTCGATCTCTCGGGTAGCTCGTCGTCCACTGTTGTCATTCGTATTTTTACACTCGTTAAATTGACATCGCTCAAGTACTCCGAGATTTCGACGCAGTAATTAATCAAAGTTAGGCTCGATGCGGTGTGCGCGTGTCGTGTGTGTACGTACGAATATGTCTGTGCACGCGTGTGAGAAGCTACCGATTGGTGGTTGCACCATAAAAAAAAATTGCTGT